AGACACAGCGAGAGAGGGAACACAAGCAGGGGGAGTGGGAGAGGGAGAAGCAGGCTTCCCGCCGAGCAGGGAGCCCGACGCGGGGCTCGATCCCACCACCCTGAGATCATGACCTGAGCCGAGACCAAGAATCGGATGCTCAACCGACTGAGCCACCCAGGGGCCCCTATTATTCTTTCAGATCAATCCACTCTTTTTGGTTGTTATTGTGGTAAAATACACAGAACATAACTTTACCATCAGCAGTGCTGTGCAGCCATCACCACCATCTAGTTCCAGAATGTTCTCATCACCCCAGAAGGAAACCCCATACCCTTTAAGCAGTCCCTCCACACCCCACTCCTCTGTTTCTGTCCTGTGGATTTGGGTAGTCTGCACACTTCAAGGGAGCGGAATTATACAATACATAGCTTTTTGGGCCTGGCTTCTCTCAGCATGTTCTCAGGGTTCATCCATGTTGTAGCCTGGGTCAGTACTTCCTTTTTATGGCTGAATAATATTTCATTGAATGGATATACCAGTTGGTTCCTTCATCGGTTGATATTTGGCTTATTCTTGCCTTTTGTTTATTGTATATAATGCTGCCGTAAACATTCCAGTACATGCTGTTGTGTGAACATCTGCTTTGAGTTCTTCTGGATGTATCTCCAGGAGTGGAAGGAATTGCTGGGCTGTGTGGTAATAACTCGATGTGTGACTTACTGGGGAGCCACCAGACTCAATCCACGACATCTTTGTCACCTGTCGATGGCTGTGTGGGGACAGCGCCCGCAGATGTTGCTTTAGCCCAGCTCTTAAGACCAGAAGGCTGTTCTCCTTCCAGCCCGCATTGTTCTATTCTAAAATCATCACATGTAGCCCGTCACCCTCCACTTCTGCCCAAACCCCACAGCACGCCATGAAGACAGGCTGGGAATCAGCACAGGGCTGCTCAGGGAGATGCCAAGGGAAGGAGCAAGGAGTGCAGGCACGGACTGTCACTTAAGTTGACAGTACAGAATATTCCTTTGCTAAGGGGCAGCCCTCCCTTGTAGAACCGTCCCATTTTACAGGCTGTCTGGCCACTTTCCCTTTGGGATGAACTTCATGGGCTGGGCATGCTTCAGCCCTACAAGGATCTCAACCAATTTCACCCAGCATTTATGAGTGTTTGGAGTTGGCAGAGTTGTGGTGCTGGGAGGGAACAGTTCGCAGAGCAGGGGACACGAGGCCTGCATACCACGCTAGCGCCGCCAGTCCCAAGAGCAGCCTCGCTAGAAGTGCAGGTGCGGCCCAGCAGCACCAGGGGAGCGTGCCCACATGCCCCCCGCAGTGTGGGAGCCCGGTAAGGCCCCTCGCCGCCCTCCGGGGACTCACATTCTATTAGTGGAGACCAGTACGTGTGCTGAGGCTGCCTAGACAGGCCAGCAGAAATGCTTCCTGCCCTGCCCAGTGCGGGGAGAAGCAGACTGGAGCTCGGGTTCTCTGCGGCTTTTTCTCTCCTGCAGCCCCCACTCCGGGGGCTCATTTACAAGGTGAAGTTGGGCTGTTGTTACCTTGTTCTCCGTTCTACAATAACCTCTTGCTCTTCCATCTCCCACCAGCCTCAACCCTGCACCGAGAGTGCAGAGCAGATACCAGAGATGCCCAGAGCCCGAAAGAGGAAGGAAGAGTGGTCAGGGGCCACTCTCTGTGGACACTGAACTCAGGGCTGGGGAGGGGCTGGAGTCAGAAGGAACCTATTGAAGGTAGCATGACCCAACGGTACAAACACAAGAACATGGGGGTGGCTGGTCAGTCCCATCCCCTCCCTCTGTGTTTGGAAAGTGGCCCTTTTAGAGCCATTTCCTGAGGACTTTGAGGCCCCCAGGTGACTCTAGAACCCATTGCATGCATACTACAGTACCGTGGGGTGGGGGGCACAGACACAGAAAGTGGAAAGAGCCTGTCCCCAGCAGTGCACTGAAGGAAGGACACATGCCTACCATGAGGCAAGGGCAAAGGGGAGGCCTCTGCCAGAGTCAGAAGGGGGACGTCCCCAGGGAATATGATTCCAGCTCAGAGGGACCCAGAGGCGGTGCCGGGTCGACCAGAGGGCCCAGGAGGCTGGCTGACTAAGCAGGGGAAGGTGCAGGCTCCGGGTCCTAGAAGCGTCTCCAGCCACAGGCAGGGCTGCAGTGCGGGGGCCTCTGCCTGCCCTGGGCCAGCACGACGGTGGGGACCGGGAGCGCAGGGCTGCACCCCTAGACCCCGCCAAGCAGCCCTGGCTCCCCCAGGAGCAGAGCCGCGCCTGAGTCACTGCCGCTGGTGGACTCTATTTTTATGTCCAAGTCTGCTTAAAAATAGCGGTCTAAGCCAAGGTTTTAGCTGCAGCTGACAAGACATTAAGTATTATAAGTATTAGATACCTGATGCCCGCAAGTGAGAACCACGGCTCTCTTCCTGCTGCACCGTCTGCCCCCGGGGCAGAACCAGGGGGAAACCAGGCGGCAGAGGGGCATGAGGAAGCCTGGCAGCGTGCGGGCAGGTGCGTCCGAGGGGCCGCGCCTCCTGTGACAGGGCCCCGCGCGCGTGCCGGGAAGGCGCCTCGATCGCACCTGGGCACCTGGGCACGTGGTGCACCGCCAGCCTGCCCAGCGCCTGGGATCCGGGCCCACGCCGCAGGCCCTGCTCCTTGCGCCTCTGGCTCCGAGAAATCCGAGGGGCGCGAGCCACGGCGTGGGGGTGTGCCAGCCCACGAGAGCACATGGGAGGTGCCCGCCGCTTCGCACACGTTTCTCGGCTCAGCAGATGGGTGGCGGCCCGCAGCAGGTGCACCCACACTGGGGGCGGGGGAGGGAGGGGCGGGGAGGCTGCTACTGCGAGGGCCTTCGGAAACCCCGAGTGGGAGAGGGCCCGCCCAGGGCGCTGGGGAAGCAGGAGTCAGCCCCAGTTCTCCTGGCCGGGCCTGATGGCGGGCAGGACTGCCGGACAAGCTTTCTCTCGCCAGCAAGACCACGCAGGCAAGAATCTCCCGTCCGCACCCCTCCCCGGACACGCCTCCCAGGGCTCCCTGTTGCAGCCACAGACGCCCCAAATCAGAAGCCCGTGCCCCTCCCGACGAGCCCCCTGCTGACCTCTAACGCCCAAGTGACTGGGTCCCTGCCTCAGGCCAGAGCCCCAGTGGCTCTGGTTTGAGTGCATTCTGCGGGTGCAGGCCCAGGCCGCAGCGCCAGCCCTGCTCTCTGCCGGCTCTGGCTTGAGGCTGCAGCCCAGCCCCGGCCTCTGCTGCCCTCTCCCTCTCCTGGGGCACCGCCTGTACCTGTGGCCCCTGGGCCACCCACCAGGTCTTGGGGAGGTGGGCAGATACGGGCCCCAGGGGGTGCCAGGGCCATTTACCCCACTCTGGCCGCCTGCTAACTGCCTGCTGGTCTTTCTCTTTTTGGTTCTTCCAGTGAGAAGCGCTACCTTCAAGTCAACGTCACCAACCCCGTGCAGTGCAGCCTGCACGGGAAGAAGTGCACGGTCTCCGTGGAGACGAGGATCAACCAGCCGGAGCCCGACTTCACCAAGAACCGCTCGGGCTTCATCCTCAGCGTGCCGGGGAACTGACTGCCCACCGGGGAGGCCTCACCACCCCGTCTGACTTGCTCACTCCCTGCTACCCCCTGCTAGAAATCAGCTCGCAAGGGTCCGCCATGCTTGGGGCCAAGCCCCTCTTCTGCCGCCTCCAAGGCTCCTCCCCTGAGGTTTTCTTGCTGGCTTTCTGCCTTTGGTCTCCATTCTCCTCTGCCCCCACTTTCCAGCCCTCACTCAACAAATCAAAGACCCCGGTGCCCTGCCACAGACCCCTGGGCCCACACCCAGACTGCAGCTCCCCGCAGAGGCGACTTGATGTCAGCGGAGGCCCCTGCCACCACACACACACACCCCCCCCCATTGGCCAGGTCAGACCCTGACCCAGTGACTGGCACCTGACCCTGCAAGGGGTGGATGCAGTTTCCCCAACCCAAAACATGCTCCCCTGGGGGGCTTGGGGGAGATTGCGGACATGAGCTGGGGATGTAGCCCTGCTCTCTCCGTGAGCACAGCCTGCCACCCCTTTCCCCCAAGGGGACCTGGCTCAGAGCTCCTCGATGGAGCCCCTCTCCCCAGCAGTCAGCCAAAGCCATCAGGGGAGCAGGTTCACCTGTCGGGCTGGCCCGACAGCCAGTGGCTGGCAGAACAGTCATGCCCAGCCTGCCCCCCGCCCGAGGCCTGCAGGCCACCTCTGCGGGAAAGAGCAGAGCAGGTGCTCCAAGGCCCATCTTCCTTAACTGCACGGCCTAGGCCCGTGGTTGTTGCACGATGATGTGTGCAACACGCAGGGCTGCGCCTCGGGTGTGGGGTCTGCTGTGCCCACACTCACGTCGGGCACATCAATGAGAAAACGGAGTTGCAGGGGCCAGGGAGCACTCTGGGGGGGTTGTCTGCAAGTTATCCGACACCCCTGTTTCAGACACATTCAGAGAACAAGGACCAGGGCCGGAAGGGCAGAGTGACAGAAACAGAGTGGGGGGTCCTGGCACTGCAGGCCAGGCCAGGCTGCCCCCCTCCACACACCACAGCTGGGGCCCAGGGTGGGCCCAGCAGAAAGCACACGTGCCTCAGTGCCTTCCTGAGACCACTCTGCTCCGGAGCCTTGGCTGAGGACGTGGCCCCAAGCCTCTGAGCAGCCGGGCCTCCAGGCCAGGAGCCTTAAAAGGAGAGACTTGGGAAACTCCATGTGGGGAGGGGGCTGAGGGGGAGCCCACAGCTCGGGAGGAGACTGGCGGGAGGTAAAAGGGATGCGCTGACGTTTTCTTCACTTTCAGCCATAGACCCTGCCCCCCCCCCCCTCCCCCCATGCTCCTGAGCCGCCACCCTGACCCCACAAATCACACCGAGGGCCTGAGTGCAGTCTCCCGTGCCTGGCCCAGTGCCTGCCCGGTCACCAGGCCAACCTGCCGGCTGGTCCCAACAGCCTGTTCTCCCCCGCACACACCCCCCACCCCCCGACTTCCCAGGGCCCGCAAAACATTTGCACCATGTGCAGTTCGCAACAAAGAATTCTCTTGGCATCGTGTCCTTAGAAACCCATTCTCATTCTTGAAGCCTGGTCAGCTGCCTGCACCGCGCAGAGGTGCCATCAGCCTGGTTTAGCAACGGAGTTTTGCCAGTCACCTTGACACCAGTGGAACCATCCTAACTGGAACGGCGCCTCCTCTCCTTTCCACTCCTTTCCCCAAATTCCTTGCTTTACACTAGAGACGTGCACGTGTATGTTTGAGACACACCAAAACGGAACATGCCAAATGAGTGCCTTTCCGGGGCTGGGGAGGAGGGGTGGGCGGTGGGGCCCTTTCTGCCGCCTTTAGGGGTTGCCTGGGGCTCCTCAGGCTGAGGCCAGTCCACGAGCACTTTTTCCTGATGTCCTAAAAGAAGTCCCAGTGTGTGGCAACTGAAGAAGGCTCAAGCCTTTAGGGTGTGAGCTCAGCGGTGCCTCCGGGGGCTGGGGGAGAGCAGGGCACAGTGATTGTATGCAATGAAGTGTTTCTCTTGATCTAATTAAATGCAGTTTTATGGTTTGCTGCGTTTATTCCTATTTTCCATTAAGTTAACTTTATTTCTAGAGCATATTTTGATTTACCATCAAGAGCAATAAAGCATTAAATCTTACTTTTAAAGGTGTCCTGCTTATCTGTAATTGAAAACTATACCCACAATTGTGACATTCCAGCTGGTAAAAAGTCAGCTGCTGTCCCAGAGGATGGGAGGGAGAATTAGGCACAAATAAGGTAAAATGGAGGATAATTTACAGGAGGCTTTTCAATGAAAATATTAGACATCCGGCGGGGAGGCGGCGGAGTTCAATCGAAGCACTTCGTTCCACCATTTTGAGGCCCGTGCATTAGACTCAAAGTTCACTGTTCGTGTTGACCGAAATCGGAGCACGTATCTGTGAAGGACAAGCTCCGAGGCCTGCAGCGGCCTCTCCCCAGGGCAGGCGGGCTGGGGACAATGGGGGTGGCAGGAGGAGCGCGAGGGATCCCAGACCTCTGGGGGCAGGGGCGAGGCAAGCGGCAGGTAAGCAAGCCCACCCCTCCCCAGATGACAGAGCCTCCCCGGCACCCAAGGGCCGCCCGGTCACCGTCCTTGGTGGCAAAAGTACATGCAGTGCAGCTTCTGTGACTCAGACCGAGGGAGAGGCCCTGAATTAAGCCAGTGGCCCCGATCACAAAGCTGACCGCACCCGAGGGGCAACCTGGGTGGCAGCGCCTTCCCGGCGTCCAGGGGTGCCTTGGGCCCGCAGCGTGCAGGCCCTAGGGAACCTCGAGTCCACACTGCCCTAGACCCTGAAGCTTAGGCTGGGGGCGGGAGCGGGCACGGACCACTGGCGGTACTGCCGGGAGGGGGCCCCCCCCCTTGCCACAATCGTGGCCTGGGGTGGCTGCTTATTTGGGAGCCCCGGAGGCTGGATTCCTCGCTCTTGCAAACCTGCACCGAGCTAAACTGGCAGGGCTGAGCCACGTGGACACCACTCCACAGGGTGGAAAGGAAGCCTCTGGGCCACGGGCGCTGAGCAGAGCCAGGCCCAGGATACGTGGGGGCAGCGGCCTCAGAGCCAAGCTCCACGAGGGAGGCTGAGGCCTGGTGCCCCTGCAGGAGCCACAGCACCAGCCCTCACCGGGCCAAGCCTGGGCCTGATTCCCCCCCCCGACCCCCGCCGGCCGCAGGTCCCAGTCACCCAGCTCTGCCAAGCCAAGTCCGGGCAGCTTCTGAGGAGCAACTCCTGCCCCGCAGCCCAGCTAAACCTGAGTTGACTTAACCTGTGCTTCTCTCTTAATCACCTTAACTTGAACGCACCGGTTAAGCCAAGAGCTCTCCCTGAGCCCTGCCCTCCCTTCGCCCAGCCCTCCCTTCACCCAGCCCTCCCTTCGCCCAGCCCCTCCCCTCCCCCACGATACAAATCCAATTATGTTCCGAGCACAGGAATCATTTAGAAAAGGGGCCCCCCCAGCCTGCTCGTGAATGACAAGAGGCCTATGGAATGGATGGTCAGTGCATTTTATTTAATCAGCACAGTACAAAAATAAATAAAAATAAGGGAAAGGGAATTAAATTACAGCCAAACTGAGCTTCATGACCTTGTCAGATTATAAACCACACATACTTACAAACACACTACACATACATACAAAATGAGACAAATATAAATTAATATTAACAATACCCACGGTTTGGTCAAAGAATAACTACAGAACGAATTGCACTAAGAACCAACATACACCGCACGTGTAATTAGCAGTTTCAAATATACAGCAATGAACAATTACGAGTGGAAAAAAATGGCACATTTTCTTTTCATTGCAAGTTTAACAACTGCTGGAACAAAACTAAATTCTAATAGCTGCATGGAAAGAATATATCAACCCTTCAGGTTTACAAGAAAAAGAGAAAAACCAAATCCTGAACTATTATTCCTGTGACTGGTTCCGTGCACGGGTGTAATGTTCACGGCCATCTGTTCTAAGATTATTTTTCTTAAGACACAAAATGCTCCTGGTTCGCATGCACAAGATCACTGTCAAAGCAACAATGAAAGAATAAGGGTTTTTTTTTTCCCCCGTAGGTTAGTTTTTTGTTGTTTTTTTTAATTGTTGTTCTAAAAGTAGTCTTCATAGCAGCATGTCAAATGGGTTCACTGCCTGCACACTCGAGTCCATCAGCTCCTGCACCCAGGACTGACCAGCACAAGGGCGGGGAGGAGGAAGGGGCAGGCTTCACACTGGGGGGGAGCCAGAGACTGGCTTCCTTCGTCCCCCAACCACTCCTGAAATTTGCACCTCCTCCGAGAAATAAAAAAATAAATACGGAGAAAGAGAAGGAAACACACAAAACCGGAATCCTGGGGATGCAACTGAAGCGCAGTCTCAGGCCAAGTTCGGCCGCCGCCGAGAAAGAGCGACTACGGACGCGCGCCCCTCCTCTGGAGACTCGGCACCCGAACCTCCCTCTTCCGGGCCGCCAGGGCCTGCTGCCCCCACGGGCCTCCTACCTCAGGTCACACATGGCGGCAGGATTTGCACAGACGGGCTGTGTGACAACTCCAACCGAGAAGAGGCGCAGCGGCGGCGGCAAAGTCTGTGCCAGCAACCTTCCAGCAGGTTCCTTCCAGCTCCACATCAGATTATCTGGCAGTCCCGGGAACGGAACGGCTCAGGCTCAGCGTGGGCCCAAGGCGCAGCTGGGGCAAACGGATCCCAGCCCGGGCAGGCCCTCCCCCTCTTCCCCAGGAACACCCGGGCCGGCGGCTCGGCTCCAGGCCTCTTACACCAGGACCTCCGTTTCACAGCTTTCTCTTGTTCGTGTGAATTTCAGTAGTGCTCGTGCTGAAACCAGCAGCCACCTGGAACCTAACCCTATGTCAAAGGACCCTCTGCCTTCCCCCAGCCCCCTATTCCAGCACTCCCCAGGGAAGGGGAGGGGGGCATGGGGACTGAAAGACAGAATTCCCCAGAGTGTCTTCACACTGGTCTTTGTTCCCCAAAGCTGGAGTGATGGGCCACGGAGGGAGGCTCGCTCCCTTCTCGCGGTCCTCTCCCAAGTCCCAAGCCACCAATCTGGGAGAATTAGAAAGGAAATTGATTAAGTACACATCGTGTGTTTTCGCAGCCACTAGGGTAAGGTGGAAACCCAAACCAGCAACTGCAAATGATCAGGTGCAGAATCAGCAGGCTTCCGAAGCAATCAGGAGTGCTACTCCCGTCTTGGAATTGTCTCCAAGATCCAGTGGTCTCACTGGGCCTTGCCGGGCAAGGCTTCATCTTCAGAAGAAACTGAACTGTTTGGAAACAGCTTGAAATGAACAGGGGTGGGGACAGGGGGTACATCATTACCACATCGCCCTGATCCCTGACATCACCCCCCACCCCGGCTCTGTGGAACGAATGTCATGCACCGGCAAGAGGCCTTAGCCCTCAGGTGGGCACCGGCTGGTCTCGGGCACGACAACCCCACCCGCCCAGAAGGCAGGCTGTTGGTAATGGACACCTGCAGCTGCCCTGGCCTTTGCCACGGGGTGAGTAAGCTGCATTAGTCAAATGAAAGGTTCACCCAGGAAAGGAGCTGTCCCTACCTGCACCCTACCCCTTTAGCTGGGACCCAAAATCAAAGAACTTAATGAGTCAAACCAGCTCCTTAACCCAACACTGCCAACACAGCTGGGAGCAGGGGAGCAGGGGGCTAGGGGGCAAGGTCCATGTCTTCACTAAAGGAAAGCCCTTCTCCCTAAAAAAGAAAAAAGAGCAAACCCAGGTGGTGCATTGTCAAACGACAGGCCCCAATCTTTGTACTAGGCCAGCTTCTCCTTGACTGAAGAGTTGTCCCAGGGTGGCGGGCACCTTGCCTCACAACCCTCCTCGTGGCTCGGTCGGGGTGGCCAACTCCACAGGCCTCTGGGAGAAGGTATGACCCAAAACAAGAGCCAGGAAAGGACCCCCAGCCGGGAAGGCCAGTCGCTCCCTGGGCCAACCGGCCAGAGGCCCTTCTCCGGCTCCCATGCCAGGAGCAGTGGACGGCCTCACCCGCCCCAGTCCAGCAAGGGCACAGGCGGCAAGAGGACGCTCAGTCCCCTGAATCCCCCAAAGTTGAGAGGTCAGCGGCCCGGGTGGCTCTGGATACATCTTCTGGGTGTTGCACAAGGTTCGGGAGTTCAAAAGCGCCCAGAGTTCTTGGCAGGGCTGAAGAAAACCCCAAGGAGGGAAGGTGGGAAGGGAGAGGCCCTCGGTGGCTTTGCTAGACACATATTGTACACAGAATCTGATTTGCTTAATAATAAATTTTTAAAAATGA